TTGCATCAAGAACTGTCAAAGGTCTTGTAGTGAAGGGCTCTGTAGTGATTCACTTTTCTTTTGTTACTCAACAGCACATTAGACAGAATGCTTGATCATCTGCTGTTAGAAGAAGAAAAGGCGATACCTCTTAGAATGCCAAGTCCCGAAGAATACTGGTCAGTGAATTACATATAACATTGTCAATAGTTTATCGTACACTAGGAGAGAGGGTAAGGGCATACGCATGATGGCTCGGGGGTAGGGTGGGGCTGACAAGGCATGGATTAGCGGGAGAAAAGCGTTTGAGAAGTTTGGAATTTTGAGTAGTGTAATAAATATGCTCGATTGTTTAAAGTAAGAGGAGTAATAATTTGGACTTATATCTTATAACCGGCTGTATCATTTATATTTTCAGTTTTGCTGTAGAGGACGCTGAAGACAATATTGTTTTTGAAGAAGGACAAGGGGTAAGAAAAAAAAAACATTTTTGTTGAAGATTTAGGATTTTTGTAGAACCAGGAAAATTTTATGGAGTTGATCATCAGCAGTGTGTTCTTGCAAACAAATGTAATTTTATTTGTCTGTCCTTCATTTCAAAGAGCCTTAGCAATGCCCCAGTTATCAAAGGTGGAACACTGATCAAGCTGATTGAGAGACTGACCAATCACAAATATGCAGGTTAGTTTTAACACAGGTAGCCCAAGCTCGGAATATAAGCATCGCCGAACATCGGTATTGTTGCATAGCACTGGAAATATAAGGATTTTTATCGGAAAAAAAACCTTTCGTTTCCGTAACCTACGAAAATGAAAGGATATCAATGAAATTCAGCTTAACGTAGATAAAACGTGTGTCACATCTCTCCTGTGCGGTCCATGGGCCGATTTATAAGAGAGAAAACTGTTTACAGTACAACCCAAAAAACGGCCATAAATCGGCCTATGGATAGACTACGAGCAGTCCCCCATTTTTCCTCAGGGAAACTAGAGCGAGCGAAAAGCGGCGCGCGTGAAAATCACCCCACGCGAGAATGGTGCCAAGTTACCTCTTTTTAACGTCCTTTCTCCACCAGTATCTATGGATATTCACTTACTGCTCTTTTTTATCAAAACTTGTAAAAAAAACCTTGGAATGTTCTGGTGGTAAAGGATTTAACGGAGCCAAAACCAATTGTGGAATCGTAGGTATTTAAGGTATTCGACTTATGATCGTTTAGGACAGTTTTGCAGATGGAGCAATAGTTTATTTCTATCCCCTCTCAATTACGCAATTATCTTTTGATTGTTTGTTTGTTTTGTCAGCTAACCCTTTTCCATTTTTTTCTTTTCTATTCACAGATCCAACGTTTGTGAGAACATTTCTTACCACGTACAGATCCTTCTGTAAACCAAGGGAACTTTTAGATTATTTAATTAAGAGATATCCTTTTCTATGTGAAACTACTAATTGTTTAATTTAATTTGCTGAAAGAATAGTAAGCAGCCCTCCTACCAACAATCCTTTATCCTTTGTAACTGTGTGATCTGGTTTTTTTTTTCTTTTTCTTCTTCTTTTTGATACAGTCTTTGATTTGTATGGGGTATTTAACAGGTTTTTGTGAATCTGTTGCAAAGACGTACAGGTATTTAGATGAAACACTTTTTGAACTGAATAGCTCTCATAGGAATAGAAGTTTTCAGTAAACGTTCTCAGAATATTACGGTAGTTAAATACGGATCATATTTCCAAATTTCCTTCACTTTAGTTATTTTTCAATATTTTTTTTTTCATAAAGAATCCATGAGTGAAATGAAGATAGGTCCTTAACTGTGCATTACATTTGAAATCCCCGAACCTCCCCCTAGCGAGCTTGACAAACTAGCCATGGCCCGAGGGGAGCCTGTTGTCCGTGAAGATCTCAAGAGGTTTAGAAAAGAATACGCACAACCTGTGCAACTCAGGTGAGGCAACCTGTGCAACTCAGGTGAGGCAGCGGGATTAGATTGATGTACTCTGCTACAGCTTGGATGTTACTACAATATAAACGGGCAACGGGGAAATGATCCCCGCTTTAGTGACATCTCTGTAGCTGTGCGATATTTCTTCCAAACTGACCCTTAGTTTTTCAGTCTTATGTGTAAAAGTGTGATCACGAGGGTACGTTACGCGTAATGGGAAAAAAAAGTAAGGGCATCTCTAGACTTAAAGTAGACAGCTTCATAATGGTAATTGAACTGAGTGGAGTGCAATTTGGTCTAAAATCATACGCGTGATTTCAAAATCGAACGAGCGCGCAGCGCGAGTTCGATTTGAAATCACAAGCATGATTTCAGACCAAAATTGCACGACACGAAGTTCAATTACCACTTTATTACATCCATTTTGAAATCGCAGAATTTAGTCAGTACTAACATCTTATTGATCGAGTAGCCGGTGTGTTAAAAAGCCGAAACAAAAAGCTTTTATATCTCATTTTGTATTCGAAACAGAAATGATGCAATATAGAACAAAAATGGTGCGATTTAAAACGGAAATGATGCGATTTAGAACATGACTGACGCGATTTGGAAGACATGCGATTTAGAGCAAAAAATGGTGCGATTTAGGAATAAATCACACTGCTGAGAGCCAATCAAATTGCACGGATAGCCAGTGATTTCAAGGTGAATGTAATAAACGTGTAAATCCGAACGCGCTACATCGTTGTGATTGTGTGCGACGTCTGAAGACGTTTTGTGATCGCCAGGGGATTTAAAATAAGGACATATCTAGGTCTTCCACTTTAGATAACCAGCTGTACGATAAATCCGGACGCTCTACACTGTTTAGACGTGCGACACCTGGCCTCAGTTGGTCAAAATGTGGATAGTGCTGTCCAGCTGATGAATTCTAGCCAGTGGATCATGTAATTGGTTGTCCTAAACTTATCCCCTGGATAGTGATTCATCCAGTGGATAGCGTTACCCACCGTTTCAACTATGGGCCTGAAGGTATGCGGTAAAATTAAACTGGCCTTTTGTCCCTCACAGAAGACGAACTGAGATCCCAGAAGCAAAGCGGAATGATGGTAGTCTGTTGAACTCAGATCATGATAAGAAATACCCCGCAAAAATGTCCATTTCGTCTTAAGTTTGGACGTTTGCGTCGGTGTTCTGCAAGAGACCTGGACCCAGTTGTTCGAAGGCCCATTAGCGCTTAACCCAGGGTTAAATTTATCCCGGGTTTCTTTTTCTTTTGTGCAAAAGCATTTTCTCGGATAGTTTTCTCTGTTATTTTTAAGAGCATTCAATCATCAACTTCTTGATAAAAAGAATTAAACTGAATTTACTTCTCAAGCTTTGTTATCTGAATTCAAATTTCGCACTAACCCTAGGTTATCTTAACTCAGCTTTGAACAACCCGGCCCTACATTTGATTATTATTTTGGCTTTGCCTTTTTCAATCTAGAGTTCTGAACGTTATTCGTCACTGGGTGGATAATCATTGCTATGATTTTGAGCGTGATGCTGAGTTATTAGACAAACTCAATTTGTTCCTGGAAGGCGTCAAAGGCAAAGCTATGAGACGCTGGGTAGAGTCCATTAACAAAGTGATCATTAGAAAGGTAAGTGATGTAGACATTGATTTACAAACTATTAGAGCGTTTTCACTCACGTGACCAACACCTATGCAAGTTTATTCGGACAAAACAAAGCGTTTACATAAGAAAAAGTACGACTCCCAGAAGATTTGTTTGGGACACCAACATGGCCGCCATTTCATTGTTTTGGAACACCGGTTGTTTACCATTTACCATTCGGTTCATGGTGTGGGTAAATGGTTCGCAAAGTTCAGGACTGGTAAATTTCGTCCCGCAATCGCCTTTACCATTTGTTCAAATCAGTTCCATTTACCGAAAAACGGCTGGTACTGGTATCAAAGATGGCTTTGAAGGAATGGAACACGAATTTCCGTTTGGAATATTTCATCCGGAAAAACAGGACAACCCTTTCAGATGTTCTGTTGCTCCCAAAAATTTTCCGGGAAATCCGGTTGGAAAGCACGGAGCACCACTTTTTGTGTCTTCCCAACGGAAAATTTGTTTAGTATATAATACGTGCGGATATTTTGCGAGCTGCGTTGTATTTTTCCAAGCCCCGCAGGGGGTGAGAAAAAATACGAGCAATGGGCGAAATGTCCGCTCGTATTATATGCTAAACCATCGAATAAGAGGTTTATTATTCCACTACAAAAAAGAATTGTTATTTTGCAATTGGCTTCCATTGTTTTTGGTAAGAGTATTTAGAAACATCCTGATTCCGTCTGTGAGAATTACGTTAACAATGAGCAAAATGTGTGAAAGGTTTGAACCCAGGAGTCATTTCAAAAGTAGGTTGTGTTTGATCGTCGGGGTGAACGTAGTCCTGAATAGGACTGTTGTTGTTGACAGTGACTACAGTCCTCATGGGCACCCAACGAGAATATAGTTCAAAACCACTTAAACGTAGCATTGTTAAACGTATTTTAGTATTTAAACGGTAGATATAGGCTTATTTTTATCCCCTAAAAATATTTCACCTGTTCGGATTTCCTACCTGAAATTCTAGTGATCCGAAAATTATAGGGATCAAAACTTACCTTTTCGAAAATTTCAGCCAGAGAAAAGGCTTCCGAAAATTGTAGGTGACCTTTTTAGGGTAAAAATCCTTTAAAAAAGAGCAATTATACCATTTTTTAGATGTTCGAAATTCCTAGGAGAGGCAGGCAAGCAAGAAATTTTACAACAAAAGTTCTGAAAATTCTAGATCTCAAATCGTCTTCCGAACAGATATTTTCCGAAAATTGACGTTGGGTGCCCCTGAGTCTTATTCAGGACCACGTTCACCCGGACGATCAAACACAACCTACTTTTGAAATGAGCAAAATGTTCGCGCATATTATATGCCAAACCATTGAATGAGAGGTTAATTATTTTAATGCAAAAGAAAAAAGTTATGTTGTCTTCTATTTTCTAGTAAGAGTATCCAAAACATCCTGATTCGGTCGGCCATAGTTGCTCCTTTTTTCTTAATTTGCATCCGCCGGTATTCACCCTGTTGTAAACCGATTAAACTAGGATGCTACAGTGTATTACGGCCTCGTATTCTGCCCGTTCTCTTGACTTTATATGGTAAAATGACATAATAGTGGAATAATAATCCTAAATATCTCTGGGATAATCGAGTCACATATGGATGTAACTTTTTTACTCTACATGATGTTTCAGCCTTTGTTTTTAACCCTTTAAGTCCCAATGGTGACCAACATCAAGTTTCTCCTAACAATATCCATATGTTGCCAAGAGAAATGGTTATGAGAGTTAATACAATGATCATTAAAGAGAAAATGCTTTGATCTGTTATCAAACTCTCTCAACTAATTCTTTAAAGAAATGTATGAAGATCAGTACGGAGAATTTATATTTGGATATCGGGGCTTAACTACTTAATCATTCTTAGTAATATGTCGTTTGCTTTCCAGACAACTTCCTGCAACGACACTTTAGCTCCAGAAATTACATTTGAGAAAGAACCGCCCCCAATTGAATGGCACTTGGCAGCGTGTAACGACATGGACTTTTTCAACATCTTGACGGTGAGTCGATTTTTTTCTGTCTAATTTAGCAGCTTTCATTTTTCGTCATCATCCACGTTTCAACGATGAAGACTTCTTAACAATGTTTGTACGACACAATAAATGGCAGCTTCACAGATACGCACTTCTTAGATGCAGTGTTTGATTGCCTTCAAGATCGGTAGTACAATTTTCCTGTTTAATGGGGAAAAAAAACTTTGGAAGTAATATCCCATGAGTTTGTAATTGTAAGTGCGGAAATTACTTGGAAAATATTGCGTCACATCAGATGTATAATTCTAAATGCTTGAAATTCAAACGAAAAGGGGCTTGAGGAATCACAGTGAAAACGAATTTTACTCCAATATTCCTTTTCCGAATTTCCCCAAGCCTCGGTTTCAAAGCGAGGCTTAGTGCGAAGCAATGGGCCATTTCCGAGTTCCCCAACGCCTCGATTTCAAAGCGAGGCTAAATGCGAAAACGATTTGTTATTCTCATGCAAATAAAACTCATTTTCACCACGTTTTAAAAGTAAGAGTTTTTAGAACGCGAAAATGGCGTGTTACAGTGTGAACGAGACCGAACACTCTCACAGGACTAAATGCAACGTAGTTTTACACTGAAGTTCAGTGTTTTTTCTTTTGTGACCAGCATAAACCTGTAGACCTAAATCTGTTGTTCTTAACATTGTTTTTAGCTGCATCCAATTGAGATTGCTCGGCAGTTAACGCTTATTGAATCTGAGCTGTACAGGTAATATTCCTATTTTAACTTAGCAGCGCCACGCCTTTGAATCGCGTATTTTACCGAACGCCGACGTGAAACGAAGTATAGAACAACCTTCCGTTTGTCGTTATTTCGTGGTGGTGTTCGACACCAAGTCCCGTATTCTAAAGAGCAAAGATATACATCAATCCGTTACATGTTATAAACATGATTAGAAATGGTCCACCCTGTGATAAAATTATGCCAGTATAATGTTTATTGTAGTCTCCCTCGTAGCTGTTTTGCTCGTCACGTACTACGGCTGCGTGGTGGACTAGGTTAATTGTTCAACAACAATGCTCTTAAAAGTGCAAATCTCGCTTGCTTGGAGATTACATAAGAAGTAAGGAGGCGATTAATTCTACGCGAAACAGGATTTCCTCGCTAAAAGTTTTTCACGTCCTACTTTGTCGACGGTCGAGTATTCTTCAGGATGTCTATTTTTTTATATCGTATTCATTGATTTGTTTATGAATTGATTGAGTACACGTGTATAAATACACGAAAATCAAGGTCCTCAATTCGTGAGAAATTACATCATTGCCGAAGAACGAAAACGTGATGAACATGAACAACCTTCGCCGAAAAAAACCACAAGCTCATCACAAGACTCATTTGCATACAATGAAAGTTTATAAAACCCGACCAGTTAGCCTAACCATCGACGTTTTGCTGCTAAAGCAAGCGAGACGTAAAGTAAACTGAATGCAGTATTAGATACTGAAAGTATCCCTTGTGAGGCATCTTAATCTTATGCTGCTATTTTTGTTGCTTTATTTCCTAGGGCGGTACGTCCCTCGGAGCTGGTAGGAAGTGTCTGGACGAAAGAAGACATCAAACATTTGACGTCGCCGAATCTTTTAAAGATGATTCATCACACCAATAAAATCACTGTGTGGTTTGAGAAGAGCATGTTGGAGTTTCCAAACTTAGAAGAAAGAGTAGCAGTATTAAATAGACTTATGGATATTCTAACTGTGAGTATGGCAGTTTCCTTGCTAATGGAGATAATTCAAGCTTTTTTTCTCATGGCCTCATCTTCCCTTCTCTTTTTGCTGCTTAAGGGCCTTCCAGATGTTGGGGTCGGGGCCTTGTTCCCTTGTTCCTTTTAATAATGACTTAGTTAGTAAGTGTCATGGCGTAGCATCGTAATGACAGTCGCTTCTGATCAATGGTGTTACCTCAAAGGGTGTTAAAACACTTGACACAACCTCGTCACCTGCTCTTTTGTAAAGAACAAATTGACTTCAACTCTCGGTCCACTGGTAACCAAATCCAAACAACTACTGCGAGTGACGAAAGCAAAAATGTGAGTCGTTAAGGGTCTGCTAGTAACGTTTATGGAAAGACTTTTCTTTGAAGCTGAAAAATCAATGTTCTCCTATTCCTATTCTCCTTTGTTCCCGAAAAGTGAGTGGTCATGTTGCCTTGCGACCCAAAATCCCTGGGAGGCCCTCTGTCTGGTGTCGTTGTGTTGTGTTTATTAGCACTTGGGGACCCTGCAAGTATAGAGAAGGCAGGTTTCTCGAAGAAATCTATTGCTAAGATGGGTGTTCTTTAATTTGAAATAATTCTCGTTTGGCTACTGCCCCGACACTAGTTCGTTCTATTATAAACTAAGCTTATGTTATCTCTTCTGAATCGAGTTAATACAACTGTTGTCGTACAAATCGGTTGAAGATTTGATCGATTTGAATTCTTTTTAAAACTAAAACCAAAGTATTAACTCTGGCCAATCACAACATGGTCTTGCAAACAAATTAACCAATCAGATCTCAAAGCAAATCCAGTGTAGGCGTCTCCAAGCGTGGGAAAAGTCGCAATTGGTATAGGTTAACTTCTGATTGGTTGAGAAGGTGGCGCGAGATCTTCTGGCTAATCACAAACAGTAGAGCAATCACGGATTACTTTTAATACTGGATTGAAAGCCGGTCTGGACAGTGAAATTTAAACTTAATCATTTTGTTCAGTGAGTTCTGAAACTGTTTTAATTACTTCCAGGTTTTTCAAGAATTAAACAATTTCAATGGAATTTTAGAAGTAGTTAGTGCAATTAATTCATCGCCAATTTTCCGACTGCAGCACACTTTTGCGGTAAGTCTTAAATCGCTTGTTTTTTGTATTGTATTGTATTGTATTGTTTTCGTTTTTCGGTTTTTGAATTTTTGTAGCGAAATGTTGTTTTACCGTTTTCTTTCACAAGCGATCGAAATTATCCTCGTTGTCTTAAGTTTATTTTTATTATAGTTTATTGCGCCTTCTTAAGTACAAGGCATTATGTCAATTTAAGCATACCCGTTTTGCGCGGATACACTTGCGATTTTCGTCTTGTTGATTGGCTCTGTAACTTGCGAAACCAACAAAAATATTTCCGGTGGGCTCTCTAAATTTGCCAGCTACTTCTGTTGCGAACAAGAATTTGTTTCTCTACGAAATATTACATCTTTGGTACTTTGAACGAATTTTCCCCTCCTAAAGATGTGCGAATAATGAGGGACAGTTACGAAACGTTTCGGAACCCTTTTTCTTGTCATATGTATCATAAAAAAGTAATTTAATGGAATATTTAGTTAATCTTTTTATGACGTGAAAAGGTTAATTCACTTCAGTCTCAGAGTCAGGTTGATATGCAAGCATGGGACCATCGAAGTTGCCTAGTCCATGCAAAAAAAAATTGAAGAGGAAAAAAATTTAATTTCAGGGAACAAAACTGAGGATCGCAATTCTTACCTTCTCTTTCCGTTTCCGTACATATTTTGCAGGAGTTGTCAGTCAGACGGAGCCAAACGCTGGAAGAGGCAAAAGAACTCAGCCAAGATCATTACAAGAAGTACATCGAGAAATTACGATCCATTAATCCGCCATGTGTCCCCTTCTTCGGTACGTAATAACAGAGAAACTGATTATAATTATACCTCCTAGATATTCTGGTGCACTCAAGTGCTAATGGGATTGTTGAAAGACAGTTTATTAGCTACGTGAAGTCATGATGGCGTAGTAGTTACTTTACTGACATCTATATTACTGAATACTTTTTAGCTTATACTCCCATGGTATACGCTTTTGCTCAAGTGTGTAATTTGCTGTCTCTTCCAGGCATGTACTTAACAAATATTCTCAAGACAGAAGAAGGCAATCCTGATTTCCTGCCCAATTATCCGAAGGGAATCATCAACTTTAGTAAAAGGTGCGAGAATTTTATTATTGTGGTCTGTCCCACGAAAAGTTATGAACACCAAAGAATGTGTGTCAAAAGTCAAGCAAAACGAATTATCCTTACTTCGCTCGAGGACAATAGGCTTTGTCCGAATTAAAAGGATATTCCGCATTAGGACGCACCTTTTGAGGAAGTAATTTCTTCAAGCTCCCGGCGGAGAAAAGTCAAGGATTATATTTCGAGAATAGGAAAATTTAAAAATGTAAGAAGCTGGAAGAATTATTTCAGGTCACTGTTATCATAACGATTTCTTTCATTAATACGAACTATCGCTTTCCAGAATGATATTGGTTTCAAGCTTTACACATTCATAAAAAAAGGAGCGAAAGTAGAAAGGAGATTTGTAAGAGGAGAATAGATGCCGCTACTGTACGTTACATTTTGTATTTCTTTGGTCAGGGATATTTTATTTTTATCAGGGAAAAGTCAAGAAATTTTGAAACCGATATCTTTGGCAAATGGCACAGCAATTGCTTTGACCAATTCCGGTAATCAAATGAACCAATCAAATCTCATAGTGGATCCAGTGCAGCTTCCAAGCGCGAGAAAATGCTTCTCTTTAGAAAAGGGCGGGAGATTTGCAGCCAATAGGCTGTTTCGGAGTTCCGAAAACTCTCACTTTCAAAACGAGGCTAAGAGCAAAACCATTGTTGTGAAAATGACTTTCAGTTGCGTAGCCTCGCTTTGAAGCAGAGGCTTGGAGCAACTCGGAAATGGCCCATTACAAACGCAAAATCAAGAAACTACGACTATCGCGAGATTACTTTGTAACCTGATCTGATACTAGTCTTGTTTACGTTAAAGCCTGAAGGGTTGAGTTGTTTTTTTATGTGTAGCTTTTAATGACGCAGTAGTTTCATTAACGTTTCTGCTTTCATCAACAGGAGAAAGGTAGCTGAAATTACTGGAGAAATTCAGCAGTATCAAAATCAGCCCTACTGTCTTCAGAAAGAGGAATTTATCGCGGTAAGAGTTGAGGTGCAATTTAAATTGAAATGTAGTTGCTTGCCTCTTACGAGAAAAATCTGAGTTATGTTAACGTCCTTTCAGCAACTTCAGAGCAAACAAGTGAGCAGTAATTTCCTGTGGTACTTGTTTTTTAATGCTATACAGGATGGCTGTGACTTTTGAGTCTGTAGATGTTAATGTAGGCTTGGGGCTATGTCTGTGATAGATTTTGCGTGGTAATAAAGCGATTTTCGCATGACCTTGAAATGAAAACACGCGAACAAAACAGAAACAACAAAAGAACGGAAATAGAGCTATTTGATTGGTTTATCGAACGGACACAAACGTGCGTGGCGTTTGGTTGGTTAAACGAACGCTCGGATGAAAAAACCTCATGCCTTTTCGAACTTTCTAGAAATCATCCGTTTCGTCGCCTTCACGTCATGCTGCAACAGTGCCTTCTCCATATTAGGGTTTTTTTTTTCTTCAGCGGGAAAACGAAGAGGCCATGTTTTGATCTTTTCATCCATTGGCTGTTAAAACAAATAACGAACACTTACCGAAACCATTTTTCAAGGTCATACGAAAATCGCTCTATATGTAAAGGTAAATGTAATCCTCAAGTGTGACCATTCAAATAAAGCCCATTTCCTGTAGTACTGTTTTTTACGTTGTACAAGGTGGTTCTAACTTTAAGGCTCATCTCCGGTGTAAGATAGTTTAGTACTCACAGCTGACGTAAAACAAAGAAAACAAAACGTCGTTAACAATGAACCTAACCCTGACAATAGTCCATAAAACAAGGAAAACGAATAAATTATATGACACCGGAGATGACCCAACCTTTAAGTCTGTCGATAAAATTGTAAAATTAACGTCTGAAATTTAATTATATCTTACTCCAAAATGACGGCATTATTACTTTTCTTTAATATTTGTGTTAATCAGCCCTCTTTTTTTGATTGCATCTGCAGAACTTATAGAACGTTTACCTTGAAACGAGACATTGAAGGTCCTTTGTCTTCTGCAGAGGTCTTTTTGTGTCGTAGGGAGACTGGGGAGAGGGAAAAAGAAAGCGCGCGACGGTCGCGCGGCGATTGCTATTTTTCGATTTTTTTTTTTTTATGAGGTACTCAGCGGAAGCCTTTGCGGAGGAGAAAGTTGAGGGTCGATTATCACGTAGACTGCCGACAAAAGAGCAACTAATTTTAGCATTAGTTTGCAATAAGGTGGACTGCAAGCCGTTGTTTTTTTTTTTCAGCTTTAACTCATTCACTCTGTAGTGTTCATACTTGTGAGTGTTTTCTTTCGTAGGAGTATCTAGAGACGCTTGATCCATTTGAAGGAAGAACGGACACTGAAATGGAAGACTATTTGTACCAACTTTCACTAGATATTGAGCCTCGAAACTGTGAAAAGTTGGTAAAGCATGTAAGTCGAGAACCATTGAACGAACTCATACAAACCTGGCGTGCGTCTCTCAAAACTCCCAATAATATTTTGGTCCCGAGAACTATTTGTGCACAAAGTTCATTTGCACGAATGTGATTTTTGGAAAATTTTGTAAGCTATACAAATCAAGAAGTATGTTGGTCTACTTTGCACAAAAGCTCTATAGGATCGTTAAAAAATGGATGATAGAAAACACTTTCCGAGCCGCTAAACTCCTCAGGTGTTTGAGAAATACACGCCTGGCACGTTAAAGCTAACAGTCATGTCACGCAGTGTCGTCAGGTGACCACGCAAAGAACACTTGCGTAGGAGACTAGAAACTAGCGCGTTAAACGTTGGATAATGGGCCAGTTTTGAAGGTCTGTAGATTAACATGAGCAGTGCTTGTTCCTAATTAAGGATGGATGAGGGTGACAAGGTCATTTGTAATTCTGGAAACGTTCTATGTCACTTTGTAGGCTCTAATATGCCTACGCAGTATGCCGCTGAATGACAGCAGGCTCGTCGAATTGTTTCTAAATCGTTTTGTATACCAGTCTAGTGTTGAAAGCCCAACGTCATGCCTTTAGTGTCCGGCCATGCTTGCATATTTCTACTGAACAGGGTGATCGAAATTTTGCTTTTGATGAAAAGCACTTGCACCCCACTACTGACAGCATTTTGATGGTACGTTATTTTCACTGGTATTTGTTTTTTCACAGCCTCGAAAAACAGAATATTCACTCAGGTCTCCTGGAACCAAGCCCTCATACCTTCAGTCTCGGCTCTCCATCACCTCACAAACAACATTAAGAAGAAGTCCATCACAAGCATCGTCCATCTACCTACCCGATAGCGACATGTTCCCGTCAACTGTTTCGTTATCGCCGAGCACTCCACGAACTCCTCAATCGATGTCGTCCTTCCTCCCTTCGGAGACTGTCCCAGAAACAATTCCCGAGACTCCAATGTTGGAGGATACGGAACCAGATTACGTCAACATCGAGCACTTTCCGGAAAAAGAGCCGCCTCCTCCGAATTTACCCCCAAGAAAGCCTCGATCAGCTTCGGCAAACGGTCCAGTGAGACCAACTGAAAACGTCTCTTCTGTTCGACGGCAAATGTCGCTTAGTAGTGTTCCCCGAATACCGCCGAGGGCAACGACATTAGAAAGGTTCCCTCACCTTGCGGATGACAACGAGGCTGCACCCCCAATTCCCCCAAGGGAGCCAAGTAGGGGAACCCGACGATCCCCTCCTCCCATCCCCCCTAGAATGCCCCCTGGGAATGAGCCAATGACAAGACATACGGAAATGTCCAACCAAGAAGACTCTGTTCCGCCGGCTTTGCCGCCAAAATCAAGACGTTCGTGAAAATTGGGAGATGTTGTGACATGTAGTACGTGACATGTCCTGTATGATTTGATTTCTCTTCTCTGGAGTGACACTTAGGGAGCAGTTTGTTTCAAATTGATTACGTTAGTGGGCAATAATATAGTTAATCCCAAGGATTTAGTGCCAATGTCCCTACAGGAGTTGAATTATGTGTATCATTAAATGAGGATGTTTTTTTTCTTAAGGACAGCGAGACGTCGTGACATTTTTGCAGAAGGCAAATGTTAATCTCAGTGAAATGGAACAATTTTCAATTATTACAGTTAGGAGTGTCAATCTTAATTGGTGCTCCAACCTATGGGGTTCTGGAACAGATGCATTTAAAAAACAGAAAATAATAAGACGTTCCTGGTGAACGTCAAGTGGGTGGGGAGGGTGAATGTACTTCTATACCCAAAGGGACCCCTCGAAAATATAACAGGACCCCCGTGAGAATTTTTGGACACATTTTGCTCTATTATAGAGGGCGATGGGAATTTAAACTGAAATCCTTAGACATTGAATGCTGTGTTTTTAACTTTTGTTATAGAATTCGTCAATTCTTTGTCAAATTTATTTTGAAAGCAAACTCTGCATACCTGTGCTTGTAGTTTATGAACTGGAAAAAAAAAACGTAAAACTTAACAATAGAATTATTTACTGACCGGAATAGAAATAAAAAATACCTTGCGCACTTTTCCTCAGTTTAATATTTTTAATCACTTGTAAAACATAGTAACTTCCTGGTTTGTCCTTAGAATTCTCCTTTTGTCTTCTATGGACCTAGGAGCCGGTCTTCGATTACCCATCCACTTCTCCCTCAATTGACGACAGGTTGTCTTGTGATAGATTGTGTTACTTGCTAGTTATCACGAACCAGAGGAGAAAAAGTCATTTGTTTTGCTTCGAAGTTTGCTTATCAAGCATAGTCCTCGAAATGGTTCAATTTGACCCACGGAAATTTGTATCAAATTTAGCGAAGTCAAATAAAATGGCTGTTGCGGAAATCAAAACTTGCAAATAAAAAGCGCTTTAGTAAACTTTTACATACCAGTTTTTATGTAAACATTGCTTCCACGAGTTGCTTCAGTTCGGCTTTTTTTGAGTGAGAGTAGCTGGTCTCGCCAAAATTCAGTAAATATTGAATTATGTTATAAGAAGCGCAGGTGTACAGTAGTACTTGAGTTTTCGCGTTTATCCGCTCAGTCTGGGTTCCACACGAGCTAACCTGTCAATAAAGCCGTCTCTCATAGCTCCCAGCCATTCGCAAAAAGTCCCAGCGGAAGGGAAAGAGCATTAAGAGGCGGTTGTATTTGGAGGCTACACACACGAATGGTTAAGGCTTTTAATAGCTTGATAATTCAAAGAGCGCTCTTTTTCTCTATGCATATACTCCTACCCAGTCATAGGGGTATTCTGGCAGTGACTGCGACGCTTTAAAAATAAAGAGAGCTTCATTTTTATCCACCTGTACTGACTGTGGTTTAAGAATACTGGACTGTAGCAATTGCTGAAATTGCTATTACAACTCCTCCATAAACTGACAAAAATATGTCATTATCACTATTTTCCACTTCCACACGAAGCTTGAAACTACAATTTTAAGGTAGTACGCCATTAATTCCTCGACAATAAAAACAAAACAAAGAGATATAAACAAGATATTTATTGTTCGGCCACACGATGCTCTATGTAAATGTTGAATAATTTAATGCTTTATTAGTCATTGCAATAATAGATGACGAAACCCCTCACAGAAGCTCAAAGACGAGAAAAATCGTGTTTTGAAAAATCAGAACTGAATACGAAGCATCTGCGCAAGTTTTAGTATCATTTCTTCTCTAACACTTTGTCCATTGTACATGTAGGATATAAGTAACTGTTCTTTCGAATCTCAAAACTGCTCATACTAAGGAGTAATAAGATGAAATATTTCTTTGCAATTATCCCCCTCGCTTGCCTCATCTCGGCACTTGCCAACTCTACAGTAAAACCGACGAAGGCCACTCGTTGTAATGTGAATAATAACTACAACAGCTTCTACGCTGGACCCAACTGCAAGAAAATCGAGCAACAATTAGCAGAAATACGACAAGAAATCAGGGCATTGAAAAGTCAGTCATTGAAAAGTCAGTCATCAATACCTCACTAAAACACCGTCAAAACCCCTCCAAAATGTCACGAAAATACTATAATTCTTATTTTTTATTACGTCCAAGCACAATGCAAAACAGAGGGAGGGCTGCGGCGAATAGTTAAAATGTTTAATACTGAGTCTAAATAATGCATTTACAGCTATGTGTCTCATTTCATTCTTGAATTTGCTAACTCTTTTGGATTAACCTTTAACCTTGAAGAATAACGGCTAGAAAAAATAGCCAAAAACTAATTACCGCATCGAATGATCATTTTATTTCAGTTTACAAGAACTGCGCTGAAGTCTACAAGTCCGGTGACAAGATCAGTGGAGTGTATAAAATCAATCCTGATGGTCTGAGCGAATTTGAAGTGTTCTGTGATCAGAAAACAGCCGGTGGAGGTTGGACGGTGTTTCAGAGGAGGCGAGATGGCTCTGTTGATTTTTTCCGCGCTTGGGATGATTACAAACGTGGTTTTGGCAATCTGAACGGTGAGTTCTGGCTCGGTTTGGACAAGATACATCGGCTGACTGTAAGCAGTGGTTATAAACTCCGTATCGACTTGGGAGACATTCATGGAAAAACTGCATTTGCAGAGTATAGCTCCTTTTCCGTGAAAAGCGAGAAGGCGAAATACCAACTGAACTTCGGAAGTTATTCGGGTAAGTTTATACAGGGCTCAAAAAGAGTCAGTCGGCGAAAAATGTTGCTAATTGGCAAATACAATAAAAGAAGAAAAAAGAAAGAATATAAGATTTTTTTCTTGAAATTGATCGCGATTGGAACGTGGAAGTTATCTGTTGATTTTTACAACAACAATTGACCTTGTTTGTAATGCCATATTAGATCATATAAAAAAGTTTTAAAAGGATTGGCCTAGGTCTTGAGAGAGAAATAAGGGTGTTTAATTGAATTATCAGCAAGCACAAGATCTCCATCGGTTTCGTAGCTTTACCAAATGTTATTTTTAATGTTCCTTTTAAGACCTGTGGAAGGACTTTTAATTTTGTTTTTAATAATCTGGAAGTGTTTCGTCCCGGTTGGGTTAATTAAAGTGGACTGAGGTTGTTTAATATGCAGGACTGAAATTGACCGGTTGAAAAACTCTGCGAAAGATAACCCCTGAAATATAAGTTAGACCTCTTTAAATGTTCTGAAAACATAGCCAAGAAAAGTCTTAATGATGGTGACAGTTTCGATGACTGTCAGCCATCTTTATCAAAACTTGAAAATCGTCAAAGGTGTCAGAAGCCTTAAACAGCTTTCTGAAGGTGTTAGACCTAAGTTAGACATATATTTCACTTTTTTCCCCTTTTTGTAGGAACCGCTGGTGATGGGCTTGGCCGTATGCATCGTGGTATGTCATTTTCCACCAAGGATCGTGATAATGACAGGTGGGGTCGCAACTGTGCCTTGCATTTTAAAGGCGCTTGGTGGTACAACGATTGTCACCACTCCAACCTGAATGGTCTGTACCTCAATGGTAAGAGTGATTGTCAAGGAATGCGCTGGAACAGTTGGCCGAAGGGTCCCTGCTACTCTGTCAAGAAAGCCGAGATGAAGATACGTCCAAAAGATTTTTGAGATATTCTGGCATTTTGTGTTAAGTGAAGCGTAGGTCTCTGGAGATCTTAAAATTTTGACAATAAATATTTAAATCAAGTTAAAATCAAGTAATCTTTCATAATACAAATGTATTAAAAAACGCCAGTTTATTCAATGATTCTGAGTTAAGTTCATTTCATTTTAATCACACTTTAATAAAGGCACTTCAATAAAAAAGTAAATCGCTTAATTAAATTTATTTATCGGATTTTTGTTCTGAACCGGTTTGAAATGAAACAGCGATGTACAAGATGTTAAAAAATTCTAAATTTTGAGTCTGTGGATAAAATCCTAAGGTGTGGAATCTTTTTCCAAAAACTGCTAGAAGATGAAATATTTCTTCGGAGTAATCTTGTTTACTTACCTCCTCCCCCCACTTGCACGGCTTGACAGAAAAACCGATGAATGCCAAGGGCGGGAGAAAATTGAACCACCTCGAGTTTACACCCCAGAGGAGTTGCCAGAAACATATGCCTGATATTTACGAATGAGTTATTGATTGTTATAGCTCTGAGTTTTTGGTGACAAGGAAAATGCTCGAATTAGCACACCCCTTCCAAGTCGCACCCTGCGCCCCGCCAGGCCAAATAGATTAAGTAAGCCTTACCACCGCCTCGATACCTCTCTCAACTGAATATGTGGTGTACGTTACTTATTTTCGTCTGTGAGTACAGCGTAACACGTAAAATCACCAGAGAATCAGCAATTTGGCTGTAAAGCGTTTTAATGCGCGACCCCTCTGACAAGAAAAGCGACACAGCTCAGTGACTAAGGTCGTTAAAAAGCAAGTATTTCTATCACATTCGCCTGGTTAACTCAGCTGGGAGAGCGCCGGACTACTGAGCGGAAGGTCGCTGGTTCGATTCCCGGGCCGGCCGGACCAATACTCAGGGTCTTCAATAAACTGAGAAATGAAGAACATGCGTGGCTCGGATGATCGCGTAAAATGCCAGTCCCGTCTCCAGTTGGAGACGTCAGATAGTGTTCCCAAATAGTGTACTTTCGCGCTAAATACATTGACACTCAATGCATAATAAAGTACCAAAGAAAAACACAAAAAAAAACCCTTTGCTATAAGGTGACGGTCATCTTTTTAGTTTAGAACTTTGGGGAAGCTCTTATGTACTGGCCAAAAAACGTTGCCGATGTTTTGAGATTTTGCTGACTAAACATTCTTTGTTTCAGAATAAATATTACTTCTATCTTTATCTGCTGGTTACTGGCGGCCATATTAATTTGTGCCTCTCAAAAGGACACCAACATGGCGTCTCCATACAAGCAGCTTTCATTTTTTGTCATCATCCACGTTTCAACGATGAAGACTTCTTTAAAATGTTCGTATGACACAATAAATGGCAGCTTCACAGATAAGCACTTCTTAGATGTAGTTTATGATTGACTTCAAGATCGGTAGTACAATTTTCCTGTTTCATGTGAAAAACACTTTGGAATTAATATCACATGAGTTTGTGTTTGTACCTGCGGAAATTGTTTGGAAAATATTGTGTCACATCAGATGTATGATGCTAAATGCCTGAAATTCAAGGGACTTGATAAATCAAAATGAAAACGAATTTTATTCCAATATTCTTTTTCCGAGTTTCCCAAAGCCTCGGTTTCAAAGCGAGGCTTAGTGCGAAGCAAAAGGCCATTTCCGAGCTACCCCAAGCCTTAGTTTGAAAGCGAGGCTAAATGCAAATCCAATGATACGAAAATGATTTCTTATTCTTATGCAAAGAAAACTCATTTAATTTTCCTAAGAAAGGTTTTGCCACTAACCTCGTGTTGAAAATGAAGGTTTTTGGAACTCGGAAATGACGTATTGATATGAGAATAATTTTTTATTCCCATGCAAGTAAAGCTCAATTTCACAAGAAGGTTTTGTACTTACTTTGGAACGTGGAAATGGCGTGTTACAGTGTGAATGAGACCAAACACTCTCACAGGACTAAATGCAACGTAGTTTTACACTGAAGTTCAGTGTTTTTTCTTTTGTGACCAGCATAAACCTAATTAGACCTAAATCTGTTGTTCTTAAAATTGTTTTTAGCTGCATCCAATTGAGATTGCTCGGCAGTTAACGGTTATTGAATCTGAGCTGTATAGGTAATATTCCTTTACTTTGATTGAGCAGCACTATGCCTTTGAATCGCGTATTTTACCGAACGCCGACGTGGAACGAAGTATAGAACAACTTTCCGTTTGTCGTTATTTCGTGGTGGAGTTTCGACACCAAGTCATGTGTTCTAAACAGCAAAAAATACATCAATGTTTTGCATGTTATAAAAATGACTAGAAATGTTCCACCCTGTGATAAAATTACGCCTAGTATAATGTTTATTGTGGTCTCCCTCGCAGCCGTTTTTCTCGTCACGTACAATGGCTGCGTGGGAGACTAGGTTTATTGTTAAAACCGCCAGGTCTCGCTTGCTTGGAGATTAGATAAGAAATAAGGAGGCGATTAATTGTACACGAAACAGGATTTCCTCGCTAAAATTTTTTCAGGTCCTACTTTATCGACGGTTGAGTATTCTTCAGGATGTTTACTTTTCATAAAAATCGTATTCGTTTATTTGTTTCTGAATTGATTGAGTACACGGGTATAAATACACGAAAATCAATGGCCTCAGTTCGTACGAAATTATATCATTGCCAAAGAGCGAAAACGTGATGAACATGAACAACCATTGCCCAAAAAAGCCGCATGCTCATCACAAGCTCTTTTGCATACAATGAGAGTTTACTAAACCCGACCAGTTAGCCTAACCATGGAAGTTTCGCTGCTAAAGCAAGCGAGACCAATAAAAGTGAACTGAATGCAGTATTAGATACTGAAAACATCCATTGTGAGGGATCTTAATCTTATGCTGCTATTTTTCTTGCGTTATTTTCCAGGGCGGTACGTCCCTCGGAGCTGGTAGGAAGTGTCTGGACGAAAGAAGATATCAAACACTTGACGTCGCCGAATCTTTTAAAGATGATTCATCACACCAATAAAATCACTGTGTGGTTTGAGAAGAGCATGTTGGAGTTTCCAAACTTAGAAGAAAGAGTAGCAGTATTAGATAGACTTATGGATATTCTAACAGTGAGCATGGCAGTTTCCTCGCTAATGGAGATAATTCAAGCTTTTTTTCTTATGGCCTCACCTTGCCTTCTCTTTTTGCTGCTTCAGGACCTTCCAGATTTTGGCGTCGAGGGCCATGTTCCTTTGTTCCCTTTAATAATCACTTAGTTAGCAATTGTTGGAAGTTTTCATGACGTAGCATCGTAATGGCAGTCTCGTCTGACCCATGGTGTTACCTCGAAGGGTGTTAAAACATTTGACACAAACTCGTCACCTGCTCTTTTATAATGAACAAATTGACTTCAACTCTCGGTCCACTAGTAACCAAATCCAAACAACTATTGCGAGTAAAAAACTGTGAGTCGTTAAGGGTCTGCTAGTAAAAGTTTATGGTAAGACTTTTCTTTGAAGTTAGAAAATCAATGTTCTCCTGTTCCAAAGAGGTTTTTTTCTTTGTTCCCGAAAAGTGAGTGGTCATGCTGCCTTGCTACCCAAAATCCCTGGAAGGCCCTCTGTCTGGTGTCGTTTTGTGTTTGTTGGCACTTGGGGACCCTGCAAGTATAGAGAAAGCAGGTTTCTCGAAGAAATCTATTGCTAAGATGGGTGGTCTTTAATTTGAAATAATTCTCGTTTGGCTACTGCCCCGACACTAGTAGGTTCTATTATGAACTAAGCTTATGTTATGTCTTCTGAATCGAGTTAATACAACTGTTAACGTACAAATCGGTTGAAGATTGGTTTCGATTTGAGTTCTTTTTAAAACTAAAACCAAAGTATTAACTCTAGCTAATCACAACATGGTCTTGCAAACAAATTAATCAATCAGATGTCAAAGCAAATCCAGTGTAGCTGTCTCCAAGCGCGGGAAAAGTCGCAATTGGTATAGGTTAACTTCTGATTGTTTGAGAAGGTGGCGCGAGAACTTCTGGCCAATCTGAAACAATAGAGCGATCACTGATTACTTTTAATACTTGTTTGAAAGCCGGTCTGGACATTGAAATTTAAACTTGGTCATTTTGTTCAGTGAGTTCTGAAACTGTTTTAATTACTTCTAGGTTTTTCAAGAATTAAACAATTTCAATGGAATTTTAGAAGTAGTTAGTGCAATTAATTCATCGCCAATTTTCCGACTGCAGCACACTTTTGCGGTAAGTCTTAAATCGCTTGTTTTTTTGTATTGTATTGTATTCGTTTTTTTTTCTGAATTTCTGTAGCGAAATGTTGTTTTACCGTTTTCTTTCACAAGCGGTCGAAATTATCTTCGTTCTGTTAAGTTTATTTTTATTATAGTTTATTGCGCCTTCTTAAGTACAAGGCATTATGTCAACTTAAGCATGTCCGTTTTGCGCAGATACACTTGCGATTTTCGTCTTGTTGATTGCCTGTAACTTGCGAAACCAACAAAAATATTTCCGGTGAGCTCTCTAAATTTGCTAGCTACTACTGTTGCGAAACAAGAATTTGTTTCTGTAAGAAATATTACATCTTTGGTACTGTCGAACGAATTTTCCCCCCTAAAGATGTGCGAATAATGAGGGACAGTTACGAAACGTTTCGGCTACCTTTTTCTTGTCCTAGGTATCATTATTACATAAAAAGGTAATTTAATGGGATATGTAGTTTATCGTTTTATGACGTGAAAAGGTTAATTCACTTCAGTCTCAGAGTCAGGTTGATATGCGAGCATGTGACTACCGAAGTTGCCTAGTCCATGCAAAAAAATTGAAGAGAAAGACAATTTAATTTCAGGGAACAAAACTGAGGATCGCAATTCTTACCTTCTCTTTCCGTACATATTGTGCAGGAGTTGTCGGTCAGACGGAGCCAAACGCTGGAAGAGGCAAAAGAACTCAGCCAAGATCATTACAAGAAGTACATCGAGAAATTACGATCCATTAATCCGCCATGTGTCCCCTTCTTCGGTACGTAATAACAGAGAAACTCATTATAATTATACCTGCTAGACATTCTGGTGCACTCAAGTGCTAATGGGATTGTTGAAAGACAGTATATTAGCTACGTGAAGTCATGACGGCGTAGTAGTTACTTTACTGACATCTATATTACTGAATACTTTTTAGCTTATACTCTCATGGTATACGCTTTTGCTTAAATGTGTAATTTGCTGTCTCTTCCAGGCATGTACTTAACAAATATTCTTAAGCCAGAAGACAGAAGACAGAAGACAGAAGAAGGCAATCCTGATTTCCTGCCCAATTATCCTAAGGGAATCATCAACTTTAAAAAAAGGTGCGATAATTTTTTTTATTGTGGTCTGTCCCACGAAATGTTATGAACACCAAAGAATGTTTGTCAAAAGTCAAGCAAAACGAATTATCCTTACTTGGCTTGAGGACAATAGGCATTGTCCGAATTAGAAAGATATTCCGCATTCGGACGAACCTTTTGAGGAAGTAATTTCTTCAAGCTCCCGGCGGAGAAAAGTCAAGGATTATATTTCGAGAATGGGAAAATTTAAAAATGTAAGAAGCTGGAAAAATTATTTCAGGTCACTGTTATCTTAACGATTTCTTTCATTAATACGAACCATCGCTTTCCAGAATTATATTGGTTTCAAGCTTTACACATTCATAAAAAAAGGAGCGAAAGTAGAAAGGAGATTTGTAAGAGGAGAATAGATGCCGCTACTGTACGTTACATTTTGTATTTCTTTGGTCAGGGATATTTTATTTTCATCAGGAAAAAAGTCGAGGAATTTTGAAACGGATATCTTTGGCAAATGGCAAAGCAATTGCTTTGACCAGTTCAGGTAATCAAATAAACCAATCAAATCTCATAGCGGATCCAGTGAAGCTTCCAAGCGCGAGAAAATGCTTCTCTTTAGAAAAGGGCGGGAGATTTGCAGCCAATAGGCTGTTTCGGAGTTCCGAAAACTCTCACTTTCAAAACGAGACTTAGAGCAAAACCATTCTTGTGAAAATGACTTTCAGTTGCATAGCCTCGCTTTGAAGCAGAGGCTTGGAGCAACTCGGAAATGGCTTATTACAATCGCAAAATCAAGAAACTAAGACTATCGCGAGATTACTTTTTAACCTAATCTGATACTAGTCTTGTTTATGTCAAAGCCTGAAGGGTTGAGTTGTTTTTTATGTGTAGCTTTTCATGACGCAGTAGTTTCATTAACGTTTCTGCTTTCATCAACAGGAGAAAGGTAGCTGAAATTACTGGAGAAATTCAGCAGTATCAAAATCAGCCCTATTGTCTTCAGAAAGAGGAATTTATCGCGGTAAGAGTTGAGGTGCAATTTAATTTGAAATGTAGTTGCTTGCCTCTTGCGAGAAAATCTGAGTTCTGTTAACGTCCTTTCAGCAACTTCAGAGAAAATCAGTGAGCAGTAATTTCCTGTGGTACCTGTTTTTTAATGGTATACAGGATGGCTGTGACTTTTGAGTCTGTAGATGTTTATGTAGGCTTGCGGCTATGTCTGTGATAGATTTTGCAAGGTAATAGAGCGATTTTTGCATGACCTTGAAATGAAAACACGCGAACAAAACAGAAACAACAAAAGAACGGAAATAGAGCTATTTGATTGGTTTATCGAACGGATACAGACGCGCGTGGCGTTTGCTTTGGTTAAGCGAACGCTCGGGTGAAAAAACTTCATGCCTTTTCGAACTTTCTAGAAATCATCCGTTACCTCGCTTTCACGTCATGCTGCAACAGTGCCTTCTCCATATTAGGGTTTTTTTTCTTTGGCGGGAAAACAAAGAGGCCATGTTTTGATCTTTTCATCCATTGGCTGTTAAAACAAATAACGAACACTTACCGAAACCATTTTTCAAGGTCATACGAAAATCGCTCTATATGTAAATGTAAATGTAATCCTCAAGTGTGACCATTCAAATAAAGCCCATTTCCTGTAGTACTGTTTTTTACGTTGTACAAGGTGGTTCTAACTTTTAGGCTCATCTCCGGTGTAAGATAGTTTAGTACTCACAGCTGACGTAAAACAAAGAAAACAAAACGTCGTTAACAATGAACCTAACCCTGACAATAGTCCATAAAACAAGGAAAACGAATAAATTATATTACACCGGGGATGACCCAACCTTTAAGTCTGTCGATAAAATTGTAAAATTAACGTCTGAAATGTCTTACTCCAAAATGACGGCATTATTACTTTTCTTTAATATTTGTGTTAGTTAGCCCTCTATCCTTGATTGCACCTGCAGAACTTAAAGAACGTTTACCTTGAAACGAGACATTGAGGGTCCTTTCTCTTCTGCAGAGGTCTCTTTGTGTCGTAGGGAGATTGGGGAGAGGGAAAAAGAAAGCGCGCGACGGTCGCGCGGCGATTTTCGGTTTTTTTTCTTTTTATGAGGTACTCAGCGGGACCCAATGCAGAGGAGAAAGTTGAGGGTCAGTTATCACGTAGACTGCTGACAAAAGAGCAACTAAATTTACCATTAGTTTGCAATAAGGTGGATTGAAAGCCGTTGTTTTTTTTTTCAGCTTTAACTCATTCAATCTGTAGTGTTCATACTTGTGAGTGTTTTCTTTCGTAGGAGTATCTAGAGACGCTTGATCCATTTGAAGGACGAACTGACACTGAAATGGAAGACTATTTGTACCAACTTTCTCTAGATATTGAGCCCCGAAACTGTGAAAAGTTGGTAAAGCATGTAAGTTGAGAACCATTGAACGAACTCATACAAACCCGGCGTGCGTCTCTCAAAACTTTCAATAACATTTTGGTCCCAAAAACTATTTGTGCACAAAGTTCATTTGCAGGAATGTGATTTTTGGAAAATTTTGTAAGCTATACAAATCAAGAAGTATGTTGGTCTACTTTGCACAAAAGCTCTATAGGATCGTTAAAAAATAGATGATAAAAACCACTTCCGAGCCGCTAAACTCCTCAGGAGTTTTGATAAATATAAAACGCGTTAACGTTAACAGTCATGTTACGCGGTGTCACGTGACCACACAAAGAACTTTTGCATAGGAGACTAGAAACTAGCACGTTAAATGTTGGATAATGGGCCAGTTTTGAAGGTCTGTAGATTAACATTAGTAGTGCTTGTTCCTTATTAAGGATGGATGAGGGTGACGAGGTCATTTGTAATTCTGGAAACGTTCTTTGCCACTTTGTAAGCTCTAATATGCCTACGCAGTATGCCGCTGAATGACAGCAGGCTCGTCGAATTGTTTCTATGTAAATCGTTTTGTATACCAGTCTAGTGTTGAAAGCCCAACGTCTTGCCTTTTAGTGTCCGGCCATGCCTGCGTATTTCTGCTGAACGGGGTGACCGAAATTTTGCTTTTGATGAAAAGCACTTGCACCCCACTACTGACAGCATTTTGATGGTACGTTATTTTCACTGGTATTTGTTTTTTCACAGCCTCGAAAAACAGAATATTCACTCAGGTCTCCTGGAACCAAGCCCTCATACCTTCAGTCTCGGCTCTCCATCACCTCACAAACAACATTAAGAAGAAGTCCATCACAAGCATCGTCCATCTACCTACCCGATAGCGACATGTTTCCGTCAACTGTTTCGTTATCGCCGAGCACTCCACGAACTCCTCAATCGATGTCGTCCTTCCTCCCTTCGGAGACTGTCCCAGAAACAATTCCCGAGACTCCAATGTTGGAGGATACGGAACCAGATTACGTCAACATCGAGCACTTTCCGGAAAAAGAGCCGCCTCCTCCGAATTTACCCCCAAGAAAGCCTCGATCAGCTTCGGCAAACGGTCCAGTGAGACCAACTGAAAACGTCTCTTCTGTTCGACGGCAAATGTCCCGTAGTAGTGTTCCCCGAATACCGCCGAGGGCAACGACATTAGAAAGGTTCCCTCACCTTGCGGATGACAACGAGGCTACACCCCCAATTCCCCAAGGGAGCCAAGTAGGGGAACCCGACGATCCCCTCCTCCCATACCCCCTAGAAAGCCCCCAGGGAATGAGCCAATGACAAGACATACGGAAATGTCCAACCAAGAAGACTCTGTTCCGCCGGCTTTGCCGCCAAAATCAAGACGTTCGTGAAAATTGGGAGATGTTGTGACATGTAGTACGTGACATGTCCTGTATGATTTGAGTCTCTTCTCTGGAGTGACACTTAGGGAGCAGTTTGTTTCAAATTGATTACGTTAGTGGGCAATAATATAGTTAATCCCAAGGATTTAGTGCCAATGTCCCTACAGGAGTTGAATTATGTGTATCATTAAATGAGGATGTTTTTTTTCTTAAGGACAGCGAGACGTCGTGACATTTTTGCAGAAGGCAAATGTTAATCTCAGTGAAATGGAACAATTTTCAATTATTACAGTGAGGAGTGTCAATCTTAATTGGTGCTCCAACCTATGGGGGTCTGGAACAGATGCATTTAAAAAACAGAAAATAATAAGACGTTCCTGGTGAACGTCAAGTGGGTGGGGAGGGTGAATGTACTTCTATACCCAAAGGGACCCCACAAAAATATAACAGGACCCCTGTGAGAATTTTTGGACACATTTTGCTTTATTATAGAGCGCGATGGGAATTTAAAGTGAAATCCTTCGACATTGAATGCTGCGTTTTAAACTTTCGTTATAGAATTCGTCAATTCTTTGTCAAATTTATGTTGAAAGCAAACTCTGAATACTTGCGCTTGTAGTTTATGAACTGGAAAAAAAAAACCTAAAACTTAACAATAGAATTATTTACTGACCGGAATAGAAATAAACAATACCTTGCGCACTTTTCTTCTGTTTGATATTTTTAATCACTTGTTAAAGATAGTAACTTACTGGTTTGTCCTTAGAATTCTGCTTTTGTCTTCTATGCCGACCCAGGAGCCTGTCTTCCATTACCCATCCGCTTTTCCCTCAATTGACGACAGGGGAGTGCTTTTCCATCGGAATAGGAGCTAGTAATTGAATTCATAATTTAATACTCGGCTGTCTTGTGATAGATTGTGTTAGTTGCCAGTTATCACGAACCAGAGGAGAAAAAAGTCATTTGTTCTGCTTAGAAGTTTGCTTATCAAGCATAGTCTTTGAAATCGTTCAGTTTGGCCCACGGAAATTTGTATCAAATTTAGAGAAGTCAAATAAAATGGCTGTTGCGGAAATCAAAACTTTCAAATAAAAAGCGCTTTAGTAAACTTTTACACACCAGTTTTTATGTAAACATTGCTTCCAAGAGTTGCTTTTCGGCATTTTTTTGTGAGAGTAGATGGTCTCGCCAAAATTCAGTAAATATTGAATTATGTTATAGGAAGCGTTGGTGTGCCGTAGTACTTGAGTTTTTGCGTTTATCTCAGTCTGGGTTTCACACGAGCTAAGCTGTCAATAAAGCCGTCTCTCATAGCTCCCCGCCATTCGCAAAAAGTCCCAGCGGAAGTGAGGTAGCATTAAGAGGCGGTTGTACTTGAAGGCTACACACGAATGGTTAAGGCATTTAATGACCTGTTAATTGAAAGAGTACTCTCCTTCCCTTTGTGGCAGTGACTGGGACGCTTTAAAATAAAGAAAGATTCATCTTTATCCACCTATACTGACAGTGGTTTAATAATACTGGACTGTAGCAATTGCTGAAATTGCTATTACAACTCTTCCATAAACTAACAAAAATAAGTCATTATCCCTAAGCTCCACTTCCACACGAAGCTTAAAATTTATTTTAAGGTAGTACGCCATTGATTCCTCGACAATAAAAACACAGCGAAGAGATATAGACAAGATCATTTGTTTATCGGCCACATGACACTCTATGCAAATGTTGAATAACTTAATGCTTTATTGGTGATAATAATAGATGACGAAACCGTCACAAAAGATATACAGACTAGAAAAATCTTGTCGTGAAAATTAGAAGCAATACGAAGCATTTGCGGACGTTTTAGTATCATTTCTTCTCTAACCTTTTGTCCATTGTACATGTAGGACATTTCTTTCGAGTCCCAATACAGCTCATACTGAGGGGATAAGATGAAACATTTCTTTGGAACTATCCTACTCTCTTCCGTCATCTCGGCACTTGCCAACTCCACAGTAAAACCTACGAAGGAAACTCATTGTAATGTGAATAATAACTACAACAGCTTCTACGCCGGACCAAACTGTAAGAAAATCGAGCAGCAATTGGAGGAAATAAGACAAGAAATCAGGGCATTGAGAGAAAATAAAACTACTGGGTCTGGCAACGAAAAAGGTTTGTAACAACAACTTAATTTGTACTAGAAATGAGCAAAGTGGATCCTGATTGTCACTAGCTAAAATACGGGCAAAACCCCTCGCAAAATGTCACGGAAATACTAATTCTTTATCAGTCATTCATAAGACAATTTTCTCAAAACAAAAATATATATATATATACTGAAGGCATTCCCCAAGAATATAAGGCCTATAAAAGGAAAAATAATAATTATGGGATCATTATTTTGTTTTCAGTTTACAAGAACTGCGCTGATGTCTACAAGTCCGGTGACAAGATCAGTGGAGTGTATAAAATCAATCCTGATGGTTTGGGGGAATTTGAAGTGTTCTGTGATCAGAAAACAGCCGGTGGAGGTTGGACGGTGTTTCAGAAGAGGCGAGATGGCTCTGTAGATTTCTTCCGAGGTTGGAATGATTACAAAAATGGTTTTGGCAATCTGAACGGTGAGTTCTGGCTCGGTTTTGACAAGATACATCGGCTGACTGTAATCAGCGGTTATAAACTCCGTGTCGACTTGGAAGACATTCATGGAAAAACTGCATTCGCTGAGTACAGCTCCTTTTCTGTGACAAGCGAGAGAGCGAAATACCAACTGAATTTGGGAAGTTATTCAGGTTAGTTGACTCCCATCTACTAATACAAGAATCAGTCGGCGAAAGAAAATGCTGCAAAACAGCAAAAACACAAATTAGAAAGAAAAAAATTATAAGGTATTGTAGATACTAATCGCAATTTATCGCAACTGGAAAGTTATTTTTATATACAACAACAATTAACCTTCTTTGCAATGTCATAATACTGAGATCATATCAAAAACGTATTTAGAATATTAATTTTTGTTTTTGCTGTTTCATATCCAATACCAAAATAAAATGGCGCTCATTAGAACCGTCTGCCACCGATTGATTTCACTTGGATTGAGGTATAACTGAGCTATTAACTCTGTTGAGAGAGAGTCCATCATAGGAGCTCAGTAGTTTCTGTAGACTTTGTTGCTAAAGCTCTGTTGACAGGAAAAACTGATATCTCGAAAGCCTCAAAGACGAAACAACTCCTTTTCCTTACAATACAAATTAAGGGAACACTACCCTTGACATGGACTTCCATCAAAAGTCGGCTCACATAGAGTTCAGAAATTATGGTATTTTGAATTTGCGATATCTAAGTTAACCCATCCAACACTATGCTGCAGACAAAATTGGAGTGAGTTAAGGACAGTGATGCAGGATGTTCATATAGATTTTCAGCCGCAACGCAATCTCTACCAGTTAGGGAACACCAGTGTTGTAGGATTTAGCTGAAGACATGACTCAGTGTAATGTTCCTTATTTGTCAATTTTAATTTCTAATTGTTCAGAAGTGTTTCGTCCGATCTCGGTAAATTAGCGTGGAAATTCAGTATTGTTGCAGAAAGTCAAATTTAGAGGATGCAAAAAATAACCGAACACCTATATTTCGCTTTTTTTCTTTTTATAGGTACCGCTGGTGATTCCCTTGGTCCTCATCGTGGTATGTTATTTTCCACCAGGGATCGTGACAATGACAAATGGAGTACTGGCAACTGTGCCTCGAAATATACTGGCGCCTGGTGGTACAACGGTTGTCACTACTCCAATCTGAATGGTTTGTACCTCAATGGTAAGGACGACCCTAAAGGAATGGACTGGCGCCTTTGGAAAAACACTCACTATTCGGTCAAGAAGTCTGAGATGAAGATACGTCCAAAAGATTTTTGAGACATTTCTGGTACTTTGTGTCAAGTGAAGCGTATGTCTCTGGAGGTTTTTATATTCTAACAATAGACTTAAACACAGTTCAAATCAAGTAACCGTAACCTTACTGTTGGAAAAATGCCTAGAAAAACGCCAGTTTTATGCATTCTGAGTGACTGTAGTTTGTAATTAACCACACTGTAAAAGAGGCGCTTCAATAAAATATTGATTACTTGACTGAATTGCTTAAAAATTTTTGGTGTATACTATATATTATAGCAACGAGCAGATGTAATTTGAAGGTCCTTCCTTTTGGGGTCTGGAACAATTCTATTGAAAACAGGAAACAGTAAAACACTCTCGGTGAACGGCCAGTAGATGCGGAGGGCGGGGAGGGTCAATGTAGTTGGTTAAGAGACCCCACAAAAATGACGGTAGTTGGTTATGAGCCCCTACAAAAATACAACAGGACCCCCGTGAGTATTGGGATAAAGTTTCATTTTGCCATTGAGCACGATGGGAATTGAGACTACGAATTAAAAATGCTGTGTTCTTAAATCTCGCGACAGAATTTGTTTAATTCATAGTAAACAACCACTACAACTTTACCCTTCGACATGATGATTTCAATACCAAAACAATCAATATAATAACAAATGAAACAAAGTAAAATAAAAGATTAGTAAGAGAAAAAGGAACAACAACTATATATTGAACATTAACATAGAAAATTACATGGGTATGTACGGCTTCTGCGCTACTGGTATTTTAAGAAGCCTAAATTAGAGTTCCGATTTATAACAATTTAGAATATTCTCAATATAAAAGGCACTTAGATTTATGATGTTTTCATCGCAAATAGACATCATATATAAAAATAGTGCCTTGCGAGACATATTCGTAAAATTACTATTTATCGAGTATATGCTCTCCAAAAAATACCCCTTAGATAAGAAAGTGATGAGCGATTACATTTCAACAAATAGTGGAATTCATCACAGATTTCGGATGCGATTGCGAGCTGCGTGGTATTTTTTCGAGCCCCGCAGGGGGCGAGAAAAAATACGAGCAATGGGGGAAATGTCCGCTCGTATTATATGCTAAACCATCGAATAAGAGGTTTATTATTCCACTACAAAAAAATTATTTTGCAATTGGCTTCCATTGTTTTTGGTAAGAGTATTTAAAAACATCCTGATTCCGTCTGTGAGAATGATGTTAACAATGAGCAAAATATGTAAAAGGTTTGAACCCAGGAGTCATTTCAAAAGTAGGTTGTGTTTGATCGTCGGGGTGAACGTAGTCCTGAATAGGACTGTTGTTGTTGACAGTGACTACAGTCCTATTCAGGACTACGTTCACCCGGACGATCAAACACAACCTACTTTTGAAATGAGCAAAATGTTCGCGCGTATTTTATGCCAAACCATTGAATGAGAGGTTAAATATTGTAATGCAGAAGAAAAATGTTATGTTAGCTTCTATTTTCTAGTAAGAGTATCCAAAACATCCTGATTCGGTCAGCCGTAGTTGCTCCTTTTTTCTTAATTTGCATCCGCCGGTATTCACCCTGTTGTAAACCGATTAAACTAGGACATTACAGTGTATTACGGCCTCGTATTCTGCGCGTTATATGGTAAAATAACATAATTGTGGAATAATAATCCTAAGTATCTCTGGGATAATCGAGTCAGATATGGAGGTAACTTTTTTACTCTACATGATGTTTCAGCCTTTGTTTTTAAGAAAGCTACTACTTAATCATTCTTAGTAATACGTCATTTGCTTTGCAGACAACTTCCAGCAACGACACTTTAGCTCCAGAAATTACATTTGAGAAGGAACCGCCCCCAATTGAATGGCACTTGGCAGCGTGTAACGACATGGACTTTTTCAACATCTTGACGGTGAGTCGATTTTTTTCTGTCTAATTTAGCAGCTTTCATTTTTTGTCATCATCCACGTTTCAACGATGAAGACTTCTTAAAAATGTTTTTACGACACAAAAAATGGCAGCTTCACAGATAAGCACTTCTTAGCTGTAGTTTTTGATTGACTTCAAGATCGGTAGTACAATTTTCCTGTTTCATGGGAAAAACACTTTGGAATTAATATCGCATGAGTTTGTGTTTGTAAGTGTGGAAATTATTTGGAAAATATTGCGTCACATCAGATGTATTATTCTAAATGCTCGAAATTCAAAGGAAAAGAGGCTTGAGGAATCACAATGAAAACGAATTTTATTCCACTATTCCTTTTCCAAGTTTCCCCAAGCCTCGGTTTCAAAGCGAGCCTTGGTGCGAAGCAATGGGCCATTTCCGAGTTGCCGCAAGCTTCGGTTTCAAAGCGAGGCTAAATGCGAATCCAATGATATGAAAATGATTTTCTATTCTTATGCAAATAAAACTCATTTTCACCACGTTTTAAAAGTAAGAGATTTTGGAACGCGAAAATGGCGTGTTACAGTGTGAACGAGACCGAACACTCTCACAGGACTAAATGCAACGTAGTTTTACACTGAAGTTCAGTGTTTTTTTCTTTTGTGACCAGCATAAACCTGTAGGTCCTGTACACCTAAATCTGTTGTTCTTAACATTATTTTTAGCTGCATCCAATTGAGATTGCTCGGCAGTTAACGCTTATTGAATCTGAGCTGTGCAGGTAATATTCCTAATTTAACTTAGCAGCGCCACGCCTTTGAATCGCGTATTTTACCGAACTCCGACGTGGAACGAAGTATAGAACAACCTTCCGTTTGTCGTTATTTCGTGGTGGTTTTCGACACCAAGTCCCGTATTCTAAAGAGCAAAAACATACATTAATCCGTTGCATGTTATAAACTTAATTAGAAATGGTCCACCGTGTGATAAAGTATAATGTTTATTGCAGTCTCCCTCGCAGTTGTTTTTCTCGTCACGTACTACGGCTGCGTGGTGGACTAGGTTAATTGTTGAACAAGAATGCTCTTAAAAGCTCAAAGTTTCGCTTGCTTGGACATTAGATACGAAGTAAGGAGGCGATTAATTCTACAGGATTTCCTCGCTAAAAGTTTTTCACGTCCTACTTTGTCGACGGTCGAGTATTCTTCAGGATGTCTATTTTTAATATTGTATTCGTTGATTTGTTTATGAATTGATTGAGTACCCGTGTATAAATACACGAAAATCAAGGGCCTCAATGCGTGAGAAATTACATCATTGCTAAAGAACGAAAACGTGATGAACATGAATAACCATCGCCGAAAAAAACCGCATGCTCATCACAAGACTCATTTGCATACAATGAAAGTTTTTAAAACCCGACCAGTTAGCCTAACCATCGACGTTTTGCTGCTAAAGCAAGCGAGACTAATAAAGTAAACTGAATGCAGTATTAGATACTGAAAGCATCCCTTGTGAAGGATCTTAATCTTATGCTGCTATTTTTCTTGCTTTATTTCCCAGGGCGGTACGTCCCTCGGAGCTGGTAGGAAGTGTCTGGACAAAAGAAGATATCAAGCATTGGACGTCGCCGAATCTTTTAAAGATGATTCATCACACCAATAAAATCACTGTGTGGTTTGAGAAGAGCATGTTGGAGTTTCCAAACTTAGAAGAAAGAGTAGCAGTATTAAATAGACTTATGGATATTCTAACAGTGAGTATGGCAGTTTCCTTGCTAATGGAGATAATTCAAGCCTTTTTCATGGCCTCATCTTGCCTTCTCTTTTTGCTGCTTAAGGGCCTTCTAGATTTTGGGGTCGGGGGCCATGTTCCCTTGTTGCTTTTAATAATCACTTAGTCAGCAAGTTTCATGGCGTAGCATCGTAATGACAGTCTGTTCTGATCAATGGTGTAACCTCAAAGGGTGTTAAAACACTTGACACAAACTCGTCACCTGCTCTTTGTAAAGAACAAATTGACTTCAACTGTCCGTTCACTAGTAACCAAATCCAAACAACTACTGCGAGTGACGAGAGCAAAAATGAGAGTCGTTAAGGGTCTGCTAGTAACGTTTATGGAAAGGCTTTTCTTTGAAGCTGAAAAATCAATGTTCTCCTATTCCTATTCTCCTTTGTTCCCGAAAAGTGAGTGGTCATGCTGCCTTGCGACCCAAAATTCCTGGGAGGCCCCCTCTGTCTGGTGTCGTTGTGTTGTGTTTGTTAGCACTTGGGGACCCTGCAAGTATAGAGAAAGCAGGTTTCTCGAAGAAATCTATTGCTAAGATGGGTGTTCTTTAATTTGAAATAATTCTCGTTTGGCTACTGCCCCGACACTAGTTCGTTCTATTATGAACTAAGCTTATGTTATCTCTTCTGAATCGAGTTAATACAACTGTTATCTTACAAATTGGTTGAAGATTGGTTTCCATTTGAGTTCTTTTCAAAACTAAAACCAAAGTATTAACTCCAGCTAATCACAACATGGTCTTGCAAACAAATTAACCAATCAGATCTCAAAGCAAATCCAGTGTAGCCGTCTCCAAGCGCGGGAAAAGTCGCAATTGGTATAGGTTAACTTCTGATTGGTTGAGAAGGTGGCGCGAGATCTTCTGGCCAATCAAAAACAGTAGAGCAATCACGGATTACTTTTAATACTTGATTGAAAGCCGGTCTGGACATGGAAATTTAATATTGCTCATTTTGTTCAGCGAGTTCTGAAACTGTTTTAATTACTTCTAGGTTTTTCAAGAATTAAACAATTTCAATGGAATTTTAGAAGTAGTTTGTGCAATTAATTCATCGCCAATTTTCCGACTGCAGCACACTTTTGCGGTAAGTCTTTTAAGACATTTAAAAATCGCTTGTTTTTTTGTATTGTATTGTATTGTATTCGTTTTTGTGTAGCGAAATGTTGCATTACCGTTTTCTTTCACAAGCGGTCGAAATTATCTTCGTTCTGTTAAGGTTATCTTTATTATAGTTTATTGCGCCTTCTTAAGTACAAGGCATTATGTCAATTTAAGCATACCCGTTTTGCGCGGATACACTTGCGATTTTCGTCTTGTTGATTGGCTGTGTAACTTGCGAGACCAACAAAAATATT